TTTCAAATCAAGTAGGGTTGGTGCCATAAAATTTTAAACAAATATAATTTCTTATACAATTTCTGGTCCAAGAAATAATACATTAAAATGAACAGTACGTGTCACACTGCTCTAATAATTACTATAATTTATGCATTTGTATTATTACATATGTTGCTTCTCTTCCAGTTGATATGCACTTCTATAAATTCAGGGCATTACTTTAGGTACTTACCTACAAATGTTTATAAAGAAACTCAAAAATGACAAAAAATTGAATTGGAATTTTTAAAATTAACTTTTGCGCCCTGAATGCATGTTTTTTGAAGATTAACAGATTAACTACACTATGCCTTCCATATCAATCCATTGAAAAAAAGGCAAAACTAGCACCTACTTTAAAGCACTCGTAAAACCTTCGTTAAGCCTTCACCTTTAATTCAAGATAAGTAAGGGTATATATAATTGCGACGAAATAAAATTTACCTAGCCGCCGTCGTCGTCGGTCTGCTACAAAATTTAAACAAAGCAAAGAAATGACACGCATAAATTCTTAGATTATTTACGAGAAGCCACACCGTGAAGCTTTCCACTTTAAGATATGAGGTCCCAGAGCTCCCCAAAGGCTTCTGGTGGAAGCTACATGTTACAATGCCCACTCATTGTCATCTGATAGCAACACTTGGCAGTTCAATTTAATTTTTCCGTGAAGATAACGCTCGTCCTCTAACCATTTCTATTCGTAAAGGCAAATTGCGCGAAAAGTTTTGACATAACGATTACTTTCGGTAGAAATTTGAAGCGAAGCAAAATTCTGTTTGAGACGCCGCGGAACGGCGGCGGCGTTATCCATTTTTTATTGTTTGTTTGATGCTAGCTTACCTATAAATTTGGCCAGATTTATAAATATAATAGGCGAAAAATAATACAATGCTCCAGATCGTGTAACATTTCTGAAATGAATGCCTCATCCCTAAAATCCGAGGATGAAAGTTTCGACTGGGTAAGAAGTTTCAGGAAATTACATCTCGTTACTCATGGAAAGGACTTTCAAAGGGTTTTATACGATTGCTGTGTAATAACCTCGCCAATGGCCGATTTTGTTTCATTCATGGGATTTCATTTCCAGTACATGAGAGCACAACATAATCTTTCGATGCTTAATCAATGAGTACATAGAGGTTTATCGTTCTATAAATATTCATTCGTTCTCTTTTAGAACCAATAGAAGATTATAGCGATTAAATTCTCAATTTGTACAGAGAATGTCGAGGTTCTGCACTATGCTCTGTAGTCAGTTTTTTCAACGAGAGAATGATATATTTAGGTGAAACGGGTTGTTTTTCTTTATATTTGCTGCGCCCAAAGCCCCCCCCCCCCCCATAGAGAGTTTGGAAACACATAAGGGGGGATCAAAAAAGAAATGACGTCAAGTCGCCTTTGGAAGTTCAAGTTAAATATAATTTCCATTCAAACAAAAAATTCCAAAGGTGACTCGAAATCAACTCTTTTTTGATCGCAAGTAACCCCGACAGTGGTAATGTCGTGTGATGCGAAGTAGAGGGGGGAAAAGAAGGCAAATGACTTTTCAGGAGTTGGAAGAGGGAAAAATGGTTTTGAGAAAGGCTGCATTTCTCCACTACAATTTTCTTCCATAATCAAGTCAACGACGTCCCTGAGAGAACCCCCTTTTTACTGGGCCAGTATTTTTTTGATTGGGATCAAGTCATTTTTGAACGACAGTGATAGAATCCATTCTGGATCGTTAACCGATTTAAAAGGCCTACATCAACTTGTTCAATGTTGCGTGTTGAAAATTTACTATTTCGCTATTCGATCTCGCCGTGCAACACAACAGACATCACGCATCCCCACGGCATGCTAGATTTCTGAACTTTTTTTTTTGTTAATAAGGAAAAACGTATACGGATCTTAGGAAGGGGTCTACAAGGGGAAATGCAGTATTGCAGAGAATTTCTCTAGGGATTCTACAATAGTCCACAAGATCATCAAAGTCTAACCCCGTTTTTTATGAGTTAGAGTTCGTGTGGCGCTGAATTTTTCCCCAACCAGCTAACTCAATCTGAGTCAATGGGTTTCCACAGCAGTAACCTCTAAAAATTACACGAGGCAAATAATTCAAATAAATGTAAAGTACGCTGATAGACTAGCTACCTAGTTAATGTATGCTACACCCTATATAACAACAACCAAAATATCATAACCTCCTAACTAAAATTGTGGCAGTTCACGCTCTCAGAGTCACTATGTCGTAGCATGAAATTATTAAAACATTGAGTACGAGATAAACGGTATATAGCAGGGCCACAAGACAAAACCCTCGAGAACTTTGAAGTTTACACTAGTAATCGGTAATTTGTTCATATATAATTAATGATTGAAATCTGAACTCTCCCTTGATAATTAAACCAAATATGAGCTTGACGTTGAAATTGGGAGATATACCTAAAATTGCAATTTGATAATAAATCAAGATTAAAACTTGAAATAGGAACCCTAAAAAAGTTGAGTTACGCAAAGGTCGTGTAGTCAATAGAATTTTTACGTCAGCGTGTATAGTTCAAGAATGACAAGTCGCTGATGCTACAAAAAATGTAGATAAGAAACAACGGTGACGTTATCGAGCCCTTCAGGTACCATAATGAAATTAACAAAAATGAACAGAGGGCACCTTAATTAAGCGTTTTCAACAACAAAAATTTGCGGGAGTAGCCCGAAATTTTACACAACCTTAACTAAAAGTTCACTTCATTATTGACCAAAATTAAATCACTTAGTCCCATGACCATTGTCTAATACCCAAAACAGAATTGGAAAATTCGAAACCGTTCGCGAGTTATCACGTACACATGCGGGCGGACGGACGGACGGGTAGAATGTCATATGGCGATATAGTTTAATAAAACCACTTTTGGAAGCGCTTACAGCTACAGCTAACTTGCATACTTTAGGAAAGAAGACTGTCGTAGAGAGCGTTACATTTTGCAGCTGACAAGGATCGCCTTTTCCGTATCAACCACCGAAAGGAGAAATCCGAGGCACCTCCCGCATCTTCTATAACCCACCGGTTCTTTCGTATCGATCGCCGGTTAAGGCGTTCGTCCGTCCGGACTTCTGCCGTTTCGAACTACTTCTAGGGGAATGGTCCTAGAGTTCTGGAATTTTGTGCAGTAGGTAGCCTATACCTTGAAGGTGTGCCAGACGGTCATCAGATTTCGCTGTCTAAAAAGGGGCCCCCCAGGAATTATTTCCTGAGATGCTGTTTTTGAAAGAAAAACGTGCATAACTTTTACATACGACAACCAATTGGTCTCAGATTTAGCATACGCATGCCTTTAGTGGTGCCAAGATAAACTTTAGAAAATGGGGGAGGGTGGGGAACACATGGTCTATCCTTTATGGTATTTCAATGATAGGTCTGATCGAAATAAATTGGTTTGTACAAATTATAACTTTCCCGTGCGGCTCGTTTTCGAGATCAGTGAGCGACGGGGGGGGGGGGGGGGGGGGGGGGTTAAAAATTAATTTTATCTCTTATTGCGGACTCTAATTAAAGGTCTCAACAAAAGGAACCGTTTTCTACCAACTACTGCGCCCTTCTTTCTGTCATTTTATCAAAGTCCGGGGAGAGGGGGAGTAGTTTTATCCTTCATGGTACTCTAATGAAAGGTCTCAACGAAAGGAATTAATTTCTACCAACCACAGCCCTCCTCCTCAACCCCTTATCGTCATCGGGTATATATTCTCCTATACCTCAAGAACGGATTGTCGGAAGAGGGTACTCACAGAGGGCGATTGAGACGTCTGCAAGAAATATATCTATTGGTGATGTCAAAACAAAAGCTATTTCTGTTTAAAAAATGCGCTTTACCTCCACAAGCGTTGTGCACAATTTATATTAATGAAAGGTGACAATTTATACTTGTTTTTAATGCTTAAAAATGCGCTAAAAATTAGGTGCAATCAAGTTATAGTAAAAATCCTCAGAAGTTATTTCAAGCTCGAAAATTGCTGCTCATCTGTAAATAACGTACACATAAATAATGTAAAACATGTACAGACCTACTTACTGCTGTTGTGGTATAATTTTGAATAATATACATTCCAAATAAAGATGAATCCACCAATGCAATTTACATGTATGGTTACACATCATTTTGTAGCGTTGAAATCGTGGAAAAATAACATAACCTCTTAAGAAATTGGAATGTTACACTCTTACAAACTCAAAAGTACCTAATCATGAAATATAAGCGACATAACCTCACAGTTCGACGAAATTATGTGAACTTTGTATTAAGATTGTGACTTCTCCCGCAAATTTTTGTGTTGAAAACGCTTAATTAAGGTGCCCTCTCGCCATTTCTATCAATTTTATTATCGTAGTTGGGCGACTTAAAAACGTCACCTAGCCGATTCTTTCCACCATGCCTTACAGCTTCCTAGCTAACTCAGAACGACTTTTTCGATGCTGGCAATCACAGTATGAAATTCTGAAATGAAGCTCGTCTTAAAGACACGCCAGTATGGAAGTTTAGTAGTTTCTCCCAAATATACTGGACTGTTAAAGTTCTGAATGTTTTGCTAATCAATTTGAGTTGGTATTTTAGTTACGAACTATTGATGTACGATATCATTTTATTCGAGAGCAGTACGATGATGGAATCTTCGATTTGAAATATGTGGCAACGGACGAACAGGCAGCCGACATAATGACGAAGGCTTTACCGAAGAATAAGCATCAATATTTTCGTACATTGATAGGCCTTATGCCAAAAGAATGATTTTTATTGGCTTAGGTTTAGCAACTTGTAACTAAAAGTGGGAGTGTTGAGATTATTTTAGTTTAGTTCAAGTGTGCGTGTGTTAGTCAGTTAGAATTAATGTCATGTCAATTTACAATTTTTCAATTACAAAATTAATTTTACACATCGGTATTCGTTAATTCAATAGGTTATGTAGCCCAGTTCACGAGGATAATTTCGGTACTTCGTGCGAATGGTGTGTACAAAAATATAATTGTAAATTAGTGCGTGCAAGCAGTCTTGTTTGTCGAAGTGTTTAGAATCGTGTGGTACAAACACAAAGGATTGTGCACGGTTTCGGGAAGACATTCGGTGGCAAATAAGTAAGTGCATTTCGTTTTATTTTCGTGTGAACGTTTGGAAATCTTACGGCATTTTGTGCGATTTTTAGAAAGAATATTCTAGAACGAAAAAACGCGAGGTAGTGCACAGTACGTACGGACAGTAAGCTGAAAAACACGGAGAGTTCGTTGTTTTTTGTTTCGAGAAAGCGTCATTGCACTTGTACTGTCAGTCGAGAAAAGAACAATTTCGTCGTGATTTCATCATCGTATGAAAGTGGACAATCGGTTCTTTGAGACACAGTGAATTCGGGAGAAACAAAATGGAGAGCGATCGAGTTAATATTGAAAAACTGGAAGGCGGAAGCAACTGGCTGACGTGGAAATTTCAAATGCGTCAAGTGCTAGAAGCTAGTGAACTATTCGACGTGGTAGATGGTACTGATTCCCCACCGTCAATTAGGGATGAAAATTATAGGACGGATATCGTGGCGTGGAAGAAGAACGATGCCAAAGCGAGACGTGCAATTTCAACGGCGTGCAAGAAACAGCCATTGCTGCAAATTATGAATTGTGATACGGCAAATTCTATGTGGACGACGCTGAAAAGTACATACGAGCAGACATCGAAGTCAAATGTTTTATTTTTGCAACAAAAATATTACAGTTTCACAAAGGAGCCGGGCGATGATATTGCAACGTGTATTTCGAAACTCATGGAGATTGTGCAGCAATTGAAGGATCAAAAGGAGAATATTTCCGATACGATGGTTATGACAAAAATTTTGATGGCTTTGCCAGCAGAATATAACCATTTCCACAGTGCTTGGGAATCGACGAGTGCGGAAAATCAAACCATGTCAAATTTGCGTGCGCGATTAATGGCGGAGGAGCTTCGATTAAAATCGCAGGGTCAGATAGAACATGTGGAAGCGTGAATGGCCAAACAGAATTGTTCGAAGAAATGCAATTTTAATTCGAAAAAGGGTCATTCGTCGGGACAGAACAAGAACCAAAGGGGTACGAATAATAGCGGAAAGTTAAAATGTTCGTGTTTTTCTTGCGGCGAACTTGGTCATTGGAAACGGGACTGTCCACAGAAAAAGCAGAACAGTTCGGACAACAGCAAAAAACATGACAGTGCATTGGCAGATGCATTTGTGTGTCATGGCACAACATTAACTGAAGACAAAGACTCTTGGGTGTTGGATTCAGGGGCCAGTGACCACATGTGTCATCGACGTGAGTGGTTTTACAATTTTGTGGAGACATCGTCACATATAATAATTGGAAATGGCGAAAAGATCATGGCTCAAGGAAGAGGTGACATCAATCTTCTTGCGTTTGATGGTAATCAATGGATTCGCAGACGGATGGTAGATGTGTTGTATGTACCGAAAATTCACGTGAATTTATTTTCGCCTGGAAAGGCCATGGATCGTGGTTATCAATTACAGTCGGATAACAAACTTTGCAAATTGCTAAAAAATGGAAACATTTTTGCAGTGGGAGTTCGACGCGAAAGGTTGTTTCAAATGCTATTCAAATGTGAGACAACATCTGAAGTCGATGGAGCCATTGCAAATGTGGTTGTTAAGAAAATTTCGCTTCGTGCATGGCATGAACGTATGGGATATCAAAACGTCGCACATATGTGAAGAAATTTCTACAAAGCAACGATATTGATTTTGTAGACGAAGATTTTGCGTGCGTCTATGGAAAGCATCATCGAGGAAGCTACAAACTTCGTGAGGAAAAATCAAAGAAATGCGGGGAAATCATTTATGTGGATGTTTGTGGACCAATGCAAACGAATTTGATTGGTGGTTCGAAATATTTTTTACTTCTTAAAGACGATTTTTCACATTATCGTTTTGTATATTTTCTGAAGCAAAAATTGGAGGTAGCAGCAAAGGTTAAGGAAGCGGTGATACGAATGCAACAAGAGAATGGACACAAGGTGCGCTATTTTCGATCAGACAACGGGGCTGAGTTTGTTAATGCGGAGTTGAAGAAATTTTTCAACGATTCTGGTATTGTACATCAACGAACCGTACCGTACACGCCGGAGCAGAATGGCTCGCGTCGAACGCGATAATCGGACGATCGTGGAGTCAGCGCGGACAATGATTCATTCAAAGCAAATGGATTACACATTCTGGGCGGAGGCTGTAAATTTTGCAGTATATGTGCTGAATCGAACTGGAACGAGCACTGTTTCGGAAAAATCACCGTATGAATTGTGGTACGATAAGAAGGCGAAAATCGAGCATTTACGAATCTTCGGGTCTGAGGTTTTCGTACACATTCCAAAGGAGAGGCGACAGAAGCTGGATCCAAAAGCAGTCAAGTGTATATTTGTAGGATTCGACAATTATTCGAAATTATATCGAGTGTGGAATCCGATGGCGAACAAAATCGAGGTAGCTCGTGACGTGATTTTTCTTTTGGAGGAATCAATGGTCACATTTGACATCAATAACGAAAAATGGGTCGATAAAAAAGCTAACGTGATGGATGATGAATTGGATGCTGATGATGCAGAAATGATACCGGAACAACCAACCAATCATGGTGCAGTATGCGATATCGATAGAGGGAATATTATTGAACGACGTCTGCGCGATCGAAGCAACATTGTACCAGCAGAGCGGTTAACGTATTTCGCATCAACAGATCGTGTTGCCATGTTGGCAATTGACGAAGAACCAAGAACGTACGAACAAGCCATTCATTCGAGCGATCACATACAGTGGGAGCAGGCAATGAACGAAGAGTACGATTCGCTCATCAAAAATCCCACAAGGAATTTGGTCAATCAACCGAAGGACAAAAAGGCGTATGCACAAAAGGTACTTAATCGTTTCGGCATGACAGACTGTAATGCTGTGGCGACACCATCGGACAGTGCACAAAATCTTGGAGATTTTTACGCAGATGGAGAAACGAATTTTCCGTATCGTGAGGCAGTTGGTAGTTTGATGTATTTAGGAGTGGCCACACGACCAGACATCAGTTTTGCTGTTGGTAATGCAAGCCGACATCTTGAAAAATCGGCAGTGGCGCACGTGAATGCGGTAAAACACTTCTTAAAATACATCAAAGGAACAATACATATGGGCATTCGATTTGAAAGTGGCACCAATTTGAATCTGTGTGGTTACAGCGATGCAGATTATGCGGGAGACATCAAAACCAGGCGATCTACATCTGGGTATGTTTTTATACTTGGTAACAGTATTATTAGTTGGGGTTCGGAGCGTCAAAAATCAGTGGCGCTGTCAACAACTGAGTTCGAGTATATGGCGGCGGCGTATGCGATAAAGGAATTGATATGGTTGTATCTATTGTTATACGAACTATTGCCGGTTGTTTTGGACAAACCGATTTTTCTTATGGATAATCAAAGCGCAATTCGACTTATTAAGAATCCGGAATTCCATAAGAGAACAAAACATATTGATGTACGATATCATTTTATTCGAGAGCAGTACAATGATGGAATCTTCGATTTGAAATATGTGGTAACGGACGAACAGGCAGCCGACATAATGACGAAGGCTTTACCGAAGAATAAGCATCAATATTTTCGTACATTGATAGGCCTTATGCCAAAAGAATGATTTTTATTGGCTTAGGTTTAGCAACTTGTAACTAAAAGTGGGAGTGTTGAGATTATTTTAGTTTAGTTAAAGTGTGCGTGTGCTAGTCAGTTAGTATTAATGTCATGTCAATTTACAATTTTTCAATTACAAAATTAATTTTACACATCGGCATTCGTTAATTCAATACGAACTTTTGACTATCCATAAGGTTATCAGTGGGACTAAAATCAATTCAAAACTTTCCTACTCTTAACACATTTTTACCTGAGCTAGCCTGGAAAGTGAATCTACGAAAAGTTGGTTCTACCAAAAAAAAAGAGAAAAGTAATAAATTCTATCTACATGAATAAAAACCAATGTTTGTTTGGGAGACCAATTCGGAATCTTGATATTTTTTACAGCAGTATGCGTTTGATGACTACCTACCAAACATATTACTGAAACATTCAATAAATAATCTATCGTCAAACTTTAATTTGGGAACAGGAAGGTCAGTCATTCTACGACCTGATGACAGATTTTTATACTACCTTTTGTCCCTGTTTGCAATCAGGATGAATGTTTTTAGCAAGTAGGTATGTAGTCTGCGTCACTTCCAATTTTCAAAAAATTAATTTCTTCGAAAACTTGTAAAAAAAGACTGTTTTTTGTATTTTCCAACGCCTGATGTTTGTAATGGTATAGTTACTTCGCTTTTGCATTTGCATCTACTTCTTCTTTGATATCTTAGCTTGATTACCTTTTTTGGACGACAGGCACTGAAGTGATGAAAATTATAAGACGAAAATCCGGTTTGATATGACCAAAACTGTTTCCTGATTTATCACGTAGTCTGATGGTTGTTAAATAAATGCAATATTAATTAATAATTTTACCAACATTTTCTACGTCAATTTTATTTGTAAGGCTGTAACTTTCTAAGACAGAGAGTTCTGGTGTTTTATATTGAATGCACGCAACGCACCGCATTTCGGCGAACTACCTACCTTATTTTTTATAAGGTAAATAATCCGATCCATTAAATAAATTAATGGCATGCGTCAACCTGCCAAAAGCTAAAGTAACGAGGCTCTAACTACCAGATTTAGAATTATGCAGTCTTTAAAGCTACCTACTAAACGCTTAATGATGGAGTAGATCTTTGCACGCAATGTGTTTGTACCCTTTTTCTTCACTGCCATATAAAATTAAGGATTAGAAACTAAAAACAAAGGCATTCAGTGTTTCCTGCATTTATCCAGAATCGTTGGTTTTATTTAGATAGAGATGCAGGTACCCTAATGGAACTGCAGAATATATGTCTGCCAAGCATATATATGCTGTTCATTTCTTAACAAGTGATGTGTCAACAAAATTCGTTTTGTGTTTCTCGCTCTCTGTATATTTATATTAGTTGTGTGTACCTGTCAGAAGACGTTCGCCTGTCGCCTCAATATTTCACCGTTGATCTTTTTCATATTTAATAATTTGGGTGAAAACGCGCTGTGGGATATTATTCTGAAAGAAATAATAAAACTCTTCTTCTCCAAACGAAAGTTCAATCAGTTGTACGTTCGAATGGTTGCAAATCAGAAAAGTAAGCCTTTTACTAGAGCTTTATGACGATTTCCATGAGAGAGGAAGACGGAGCTTTTATGGAGACGTGTACCTAAATTTACACCCTATGAATTTTCCTATTTCCAATTCGAAAGAACCGGTGCGTTATATAACCATTCCGCACGAATTGATGAAAATCTATTGCACTATTTCGTTTAAAATGGATTTTAGGTGAACTGCACACATTAGTTTAAAGTCCCTAGAATGAACATTTCACACTCAATCAGATCAACGCTTTCGGCATTTTAAATAAGATTACCTACGGTTTAGGCGCATGCATGGTTATGTCCAAGGCGCTAAAATCTAATTTAGTTGGTGAAATTTACAACAAAGTTGTCGCGCCTGTTTGCACTGGAAGTGTTTCGTAATTAATCTTCCGACATTCATGTTAATTGCAATCGACTAGGGTATGTGTGCTTAACCTTATCTAAATGTGAAACAACGGTCGAAGGGTAAAATTTTGTATCAGTTCGTTTGCTCTCTAGTTTTTAGTTGTTAAATTTAATTATGTTTCAGGCATTTTTTAGTAAATTGTCGTTGTAATCGTTAATTGAGCTCCAGCTTCAGTTTATGTCTTGGTGCTTATTCACTGCCTTTATTTACTAATAGCGCTATATGGAAATCTTAATTGGAGGTTGGCACTTGACAGTAAGATTTCCATAGGTAAGATGAATCAGAGATCTTACGGTAACCGTCAACCGCAAAATTTGCGTAAACGTTCCGTTTTCCATTAAAGC